ACTGAGCAACATAGAGTGCCTAGCATAAGAAACACATGGAATTATTCAAAGGCAACTTCCCCAGGGAGAGGGCATGGTAAGCCACGTATTCAGCCCACTCACTGCATGATAATACAACTGTAGTGTTACATCTAGTGCTTAATCCTGCAACACCAAGCATTACTGGTCAAACGCTAAGTGCCCTCAACTCCCAAGGGAGATGGGGCACTCAGTATCTTGAAAGATCAGGTCCCTATGTTCTGAATCGGAGACATCTCTTAGAAAATTAAACCTCTGAGACATTTATGTTAGTTATTGTCACTGTGCTGTTGGATACTGAACCCATTTGGTTATTTGATGAGGATATTTTACAGACCTTTTCCTGTTAGTTAAAGGAGTGCAGCTGGAGTGTACATTAAGCTGATAATGCTACAGATAAGAACATTCCATCCTGTGACATAATACTTCATCTGACGGCCCCTCCAACATTGGGATATTTTATATATGACCATTATACTTTGCTTTCAACTTCATTGAAGCACATTACATGCTTCCATCTTCCATATAACTTGCATCTTTGTATAATATAGACACCTCGGAAGCAAAAAAATGAAAACGACCTTATGGTCTTTTAGTAAGAAGCAGGGGTAAAAGGTAAGAGGGGTAAGAGAAAAAAATCATGGAAAAACATTCTCTTAGCCAAGTTCTCCTGCGGGTAGGCTACATAAAGTACATACACTGTATTTGGTCCACAGTTTGCTGCAACATACCAAGCTTCAATTCCTCATATTGTCGAGCTAGATGTTATAAAATTCCTCATCTTTCATTAGTATAATTTTTTTTTTAAACTTCAAATGCTTTAAGCTATAGGTGGGGAACCTGTGGTCCATGGACCAGATCTAGCCCATGGCTTCTCCTTGCAGTAGGACAAGCCAGCCCTCACACTTCAACCCAATGGCTGGTTTCCAAGCCTCGGTGTCCCCTTCCCCTGCAGGGTTGGAGTGTGAGTGCTCTCTCATGGCAGCCAAGTCAGTGAGTGTTGGGTCTAAGTTTTGATTTGGGTTTTTTGTTTGTTATTTTATTTTATTTGCCTTTTACCTGTGTGTGGCCTCCAACTGATTTTTATCTGGGTCAGTGGTCCCTATCTCAGCTTTAAGCAATGCTGAGATCCTGTGTTACAGTCGCATTCAAAGAACACATGCTACAGTGCATGCAACACTCAAAATTAAGCCTAGTCTTCATTTCAGTGCTAGATGCCAGAACTTCACAAGTGCTGATCCAGACTCACTCTGACACACTGTGGGGATTTGGGAAAGTCAAAACTTCTGCATACAGTCTCCTCATCTGTAAAATGTAGATGATGCCTCATTCAGTGGGACATTATAAACATCAGTTAAATTTTCAAAGAACCAAAGAAACGGTAAGCACTAAATATTATTGCTAGAGCTGTATAAAAATCCACAACCAATAATTTGATCAGCAAATGTTGCTTTATTCATTTCACCAACAGAAAATGAATTTGAGAAATGCACACACAATTTGAAATGATTGACAAATTCTTTTTTGAACTCTTCCCTCTTGCCATATATTATTGTGTCCATTTCTAAATTGGATGATATATGGAACAAACAAATTCAGGGTGAAGTGCAAATGTTAAATATCACAATGGAACATGAGAGGCCAACTGTTTTTTAATAATATTTGTGCCTTTAAGCTTGAAATTCATTTGTGAGGAGCATTCACAATAATTAAGCATGCACACTTGATTTTGTGCACAGCATCAACCTCAGAAAAGACTGAGCACATCTGAATTAAAATATAAACTCAAATTTGAATATTTGGGGAATACTCCCCACCATACGCACACAGACTGAAGTCTATTTTTATTAAGATGAGAATTTCTGTCACCCATAATTATCTACAAGTAAATGCATCTCATCTGCAAACAGGTCACAAGTAAAACTCATGCATTTTTAACCAAAGAGATAGAAATTATTGTGAAATGATTTTTGGTTTTCGCCAAGGGATTTAATGCCAGGCAACGCTTAAGCCAAATCATCTACAAACTAGACTGTTTGTGGGGTTACCAGCCACAACTCCACGGGATTCCAGCTATTGCTCTATTTAAGAGTTTAGAGAATGCACTCAAATGTATGGACAAAGTGGTAACAACGTTGGGTTTAAAAAAAAAAAGGATACTGATTTCAGAAAAAAGGATACTGATTTCAGAGACAGGAAAACCGCAATTCTCTGACTGAATAGATTAAGTTAATAGGTGCTAGACGGTTTTTAATCAGAGGCAGAGAACAGTATATTTACACTAGATTTACATGAAATAGGAGGCAGAGAAGTTTGGAAAGGAAAGAAGAAGTTCAGTTGGCTTGAGACAGCATAAACAACTTTTTTTTTTATTTCCAATCTTGGACAAAGCACGCAGCCGGAATGGGGTTTGGACTTTACCACACACATTCACAGTCCACTCCTATGCCTTATTACAGGCTTCCTGAGGGATACTCAACAAATGCCTATAAAATCAACAGAGGATCCAAATCTAACATCTCCTCACTGTGAGCCCACACAGCCTGCTGCCAATCATGCAGACCATTTGGCAAGCACAGGTTCTGCAGGAGAGCAGCTGCTCAAGCCACTCGCTTCCAGCAACATCAGGGATATGAGGACTTGGGGGGAAATTAACCATGCTATCAAAAATGAAATAAAAGATGTTCAGAGTTGTTCCTCCCTGTAAATATCAAATGTTTCTTTACATGAAGCCGACTTTAATATTGTTGTAAAATTGCAGCCGTCAGTGACTCAAGCCACTAAATAAATCTTCAAAAGGACTCATGGAGTCACGGGAGCAAAGAGGGGGCTGCAAAACTGGCTGTGATTCCAATCTGAGACTGAATGTACATGGATATGTAGTACTTGAAGCACTTTTGCATATTATGAGATTATGTTCATAACAAACCTGCTCCAAAGCCCATTGAAATCTATGGAAACACTCCTTTGGACATCAGTGGGCTTTGGATCAAATGGTAAGATTTACTAAAGTAATGCATTTAAACTCCATCCATACCATTCTGTATTAACTCCATTTTTCATTCCCACAAAAAGAGATAACAGAGGATAGAAGGGAATTAAAAAAGGGGGGGGGGGGGAGAGAGGAGGAGCTCATTTTAATCCATCAGAATTTTCTGTTTCCAGTTCTTTTACTTAAACCGAGTTTTTCATAGTTGGGTATCTAAAATTTTGCACCAAAATATTTAGCTGCATAAATAAAAGGGGACCTGATTTGCTTGTTTCTCACAGCAACACTCCCACTGCTGTACATATCATGTACATTGTAATGATAAATCTTTTAAAATATTAACAGTGATATAGTAAGCCATGTAACACATCCCCCACCATCTCTTAACATATACAGAGAGCAGAAAAAAAGTTATACTATCCACTACATCCGTACTGTGGCTATGTTAACATTGTTGCTGGAACTAATGTTTTTCAACTAATGTAGAGTTTTTTATGCAACTTCCTTGTTTAAAATAATTAAATTGTCCCTGTTTAATAACGTTCACATTCAAAAAGTCACAGATAGGCTCAGAAGTTATCTAGGAAAGCACTTCAGTACATGCTCAATTTTTAGCACACAGGTTACCCCACTGAAGTCAATGAGATTACTTCTAAGATGAATGTTCCTTAATTGGTTCAAGCAGAAAGAATAGGAAGTGCCATTATAAAGAGGGATGCCCTCACTGATGTTTGGACTGTGCTCTGTAATACAAAGCTCATACCAATGCCATGTTCCTGTTGCTTAATTATTTTAATTGTAATTTTTCCCTACCTTGCCTCCTCTCGCACACCTAACCAAGCCTATGGAACTAGTCCTCAGTGAGGACTATGTCCCAGTCAGCTTTAAAACACCAGCCAATTTTTGTTTGCTGTTAAATGAATGACTACAACTTCTTGACAATGGTGTTTGCTTCTGGTTTTCCTGCACTTCAAAAATAAAATAAAATAAAATAAAATAAAATAACAGCTAAAAATTTTTGATCTACTTTCTCCCCCCACCAGCACCTTCTGCAATAATAAACACTAAATAAATAAATACAAGACCAGAGATCAACATGGAACATTTCATACAAGCCAATAGCACATTAAAATAGGGAAGTGTCATGCAAGGTAATTTTCCAACTATAATATCATGAGTGTTTATCAATATGCACTGTAATATTGTTCAGCTTGTGTGTTGTCTCATTGTTTCCTTGTTTCCTCCCAACCTATGTCTGTATCCATTTGTGGTCTTCTGTCTTTTACTTAGATATTTGGGGCAGAGACTGAATGTCTTTTTGCTATATGTTTATACAGCGCCTAGAGCTATGGGGTCCTGATTCAGAAATGGGAGTTCCTAGGCAATACCATAAGGCAATTCTGTTTCTATTCTTCCATGATCACCCTCTCTTCACATTTGCTCACAGAACAAAAACTGCAACTCTACATGGTAAAACGTAATTCTACTCAGCTGTGCCAACAACAACTACTTGCACTATTCCATTGTGATCGGCAATTACTTTTTTGGAGTAACAAGAAACAACAATGAACAAAGACATAGCTGAAATGTTACTATTGAAAGTTGATGTCACAAAAAGAAAAACGGTTCAATTATGTTTTCAGACCAAAGTGGCATATTGCACTGATGAACTAGTACTATGTGTATGAAATGCCGACAGGCAGAACTGAAACGGCGACATCTGGAGCTTAGCGCATGAGCCTCTACAGCTTGAGCTAAAAGTCAGGTGCCTCTCAGTTAAGGCTGTAGAAGAAACATTCGTTCTCTCTGTAAGTGCCTCTACATGGAACAGTGAACCACACCCAGTAGGGTATACATACGTACACATACAAACACCCTGCCCCAAAGGTTGTTTATATCTATATCTGAGTTGCTTCTAGAGAGGGAAAGAAATAAAACTCGCTACCAATGAAACCATCAATGTTCAAATGATACATATGCAAAGATAACTTACGGAGAGCAAAGGAATAGCAACTTTTCCAAGAAAATCAGGGGGTTTATCTCCATCTTCATCAAACACTGTCACTTCAAGTATATCATGGATATCCTTAACAGGGCTGGAATGAGAAGCACAAAAATTGGTCTGTACACATGCAGTCTGCTCCAGGAAGATCAGAGAATAGGGTTCCACTAATTAAGTCTGCATTACCTTAGAGCATAAAACCAGCATTTAATTAAATTCCAAAAATGAAATCAAACCAAGGCTATTCCCTATGCTTTTCTCACACATTTCCATGTGAAAGGCAACAGTTATTGCTAGATGGTGAGATTTTGTGTGTGTGTGGATGTTAACATTAATAGCACATAGGAGGGTGGGCAAGGTGAACATGAAAAAAGCTCAAGTCAGAGTTTAGGAAGCCATGTGCATATACCAAAAGAGGCATGTCAAGAGGAAACCTCTCTCATTTTTTCTGACTTGAGCAATTCTCCTTATTTTTAAATTATTCAATTCAACTGATCATCAGGATCATTGATAAATGAGAGATTCATCCAGGGAAACATTTGTTTTTGTGTAAGCTTTATGTTTAATAACTATAGGATGGGATGGAAAGGAGAGAGGAAAGGAAGTTTATCCACAGATAAACCCTGCTGTGATAGCTGCAGCCCATATTTGCAGATGCACACATAAATTTTGTATCTAGAACCCTACAAATTAGAAAGTATCCCCAGATTTTTGTTGCAGATGTAGACACAAATTTTGTATCCACACAGTGCTCTATTTATCTGATTTTGTAAGCAAGCTGTGAAATGAAGCTTGGGCTTACACACAACAAATCAGACACTTTTAAAGAGTTACAGTAGTCTCAAAAGGTTGAGAGCCACTGTCTTATAAGATGAGCCTCAAAAAGCTGCTAGTCTAAAAGACAGCTAATTCCAGGAACATTCCAGCTACAGGTCCATAAATTAGGAGTATCCATCAAAGACTAAGTTTGGAACCTATTGTACTAAAAGCATAAACTAAAATACTAATTCCTCTACCAATTTATTGCAGAAAACTCATTAATCTCTTAGGCTGATAAAGGGAGACAAATACCTACATGATATCCATTTACTTTTCTGGGCTCTCAAATACATTTAATGACTATTTACATAATTCATACTGCTATCAGAACTTGCCAGAGGTGTTACCCCTACATTTGTTCAAAGTTAAACTGAAAGATACCATCAAAATAGTTGTACACAGGCTATTAGCAACGTAAAATGTCCCAAATTGTTCAGACAACACTGTGACGGGCATAGTTCAGGAACCTAAACAGAACAGAAAAAGAAAACTTTCCAATCTGGACCAAGCATAGATATGTAAGTTCAGGATAAATAGTAATGGATCTGGAGCTTCTTGAGAAGAGACAAATGAGGTAAGGAGAGTTACAAAAGGAGACACACAGCCTAAGCCAAAATTCCTTTTAAACAGCAAGAGCGAGGACTACCAAATTCTGTATACAGCTTCCTCTTATCATAACTTAAAGCCCTTTTAGGTTTGGTTGTGGCAGGAAAGTGTCATGTGTCTGGAATAGGATTGCTTTTCATAAAAAATGGAACAGAAGAGACATAGAATCACCAAATCAAATACAGTACTCAAAACTGACATAACTAAGTGAATGTTGAAAGATGAGCAAGAAACATAGGCTGAACCTGGAATAGGACTGCTTCCCAATAAACCTTATAGAAAATAGATAAAGCAAAGAAATTTGGAGGAGTGATCTGTTTTGACACCGCTAAATCAATGCTTAAGATTTAAAAACTAGAAGACAATCTTAGTGGAAAGCAAATTGTAGCTTTTTTTTGTTAAAGCATAGTGAATGATAAGCATTTATAGGCATTAAGAAAAAAAATATTCTTGATGAAATTCCGATTTTTAAAAAATTGCTAAAAAAATTAAACGGACAAATTTTAACAATTTTTTTTAAGAAAGACAAAATAAAAGTTTACTTTATTTAAAAAAACCAGCGTTTTTGAAAAATACGATCATTTAAATAAAGCATGTATATTTTCCTTTTATTTTAAAAGAAATGTAATTAAGGTAAATACCCAAGAAATGCCAGGTAAATCTTCTAGTATGAGATAAAACTCAGTCAACCACTTCATCCTAGGGAGAAAGTGACACGTTCCAAACTTTACCTGTTGTTTCCTAAAATACATGTATTTTATCCTAAGGCTGCTCACTGTTTTGCATTCACATCATGTTTCCCAATGCAATTCACTTACAAGGTAAAAACTGTGTTCCACTCCGGATTGAGGTTTTTGTAAACTGTATGGGTCTCAAGTCTGTCGTTTCCCAACTCTAACACACAGAAAGGGTCACTTTTACCTGTGGAAAGAACAGGTTAAAATACAAAATAAAACAAAGAAAGGTAATATGAATGTAGTTAGTTTAGTCTTTCTGAAGTCAGGTAGGGAGGAGGAGATGGGTAGGTCAAATAAAAGTCAACTGCACTAAGGAGATTGGACATTGCCTTGGATTACTAAATTACCACCACATACTAAATTACCACCACAACCTATATGTATTCACTGTTTTCCTGTCTGAAACTTTATCGAAGCACTCTCTATTCTAATTCATGTAGGCAACTTGTCCTAGTAACAGAGAACTGAATGCTTATAGAGAATAATCTTTAAATCTTTGGTGACTAAGAAAGATCATTTTTTATGATGGTGATTGATGTGCAATAAAAGAGGAAGTGCCATTCTGAACGTTTCCGCATTTACATATTATCCTCCACGAATGATCACAGGTTATGAACCATGCAGGCTTTTAGTTCGGGTTATAGAAATGTCAGGACTTCAGTTAGTTCATTTTGCGTTATCATTGGCTGAGAATTTTTTTGCCTTTGCTTGTTTTGTGAGGCTACATGTACTCAGATGATATTATGCACCGGCAAAGTTTTGTGAGTAGATCTCTGAATCCGTATAGACAGCCAGTGACTTCAGTGAGAGTCAGCTCAGAACAATGGACTCAATTGCTGGATCAGGTGATGGACAGCGTGAGAAACTGATTCAATGGAAAGTTCTGTCCAAAAAACCCCACGTAATGAAGTACCCAAGCAACACCAGTAAATCTGCTAGTAGTAGCACAGACTGGGACACCACTTCCCACAACTCCCATTGGCCGAGAACAGTGATCCGCAGCCAACTGGAGGTGCAAGCGCCCATATCTGTAGAGGCGCAGATTAGTACAGTGGTGGCAGCCTGCCAGAGACTAACCCAGTAAAACCCAGCCCACAGGCCAGTTATTGCCCACCCCGGTCTTACAAAATCATATTTATCTTTAGCTCAACTACAGGCATTCTAGTCTTACTTTTATTTAGTTTGCTGTGCACCTCAGCCATTGAGATATTTTAAAAAAGAAAACGGACATTTAAGCACACTTGTATTGATTTTTTAAAATGCGGTTATGAACATATTAACCGAACTGCACTTTATAAACAAAAATGATGACAAGGTCTCTGGTCTGAGGTGTTTACAGCCTAAGTAGTAATGTTTTCCAGTATCTAAACAATGAAGATTTCCCAGTCACTCTTGGAAAGTTTTAATTATCTCACATTTTAGTAGAGTCTACTCTTTTACCTCCCTACCTATATCTTGCAACCAGGTACAAGTGGTTAACCATGAAAAGAAACTACTTCAAATGCAAAATGGTATATGCCAAAAGACAGCCCTACTCTATAATTTTGTGTTCTGAATACCGGTTTTTGGTCAGTGAGCAAATGCCGTCTTTGAGCAGAATGCTCATGTGCATACATAAACATCCAATGAAGCAGAAAAAGTAATTTCACATTGACAAAACTACTGTCTAAGAATGTATGTAAAAACAGGAAGGCTGAAGCTAAAGTAGTTGGGGTTGACAAGGCTTAGACATAGTTAGCTCTACATTTTCAATATGGAATGGGACGCTGTAACCGGTCTAAACTTGGGTCAGACAGTACCTGCGTTTTCAGAATGCTGTTTCAAGCCAGAATCGCATGCAATAATGTACTGTTCCGATTCTCATTATTACTGGAGGTTGAAAACTCAAATTTGGTAAACTGTACAGTACCAACACACAGCAGCCATAACAGAAATACCAACCACACTGAAATCTGACCTTTATTACTGTACTAAGTAACAAGGTTTAAAATGGTATTGTACATAGAATTGGATAATTAGTCTGCAGAAGTATTCCCATCATTGAATCATTGTGTGACTGAGAAAATAGGCTACATGCTCAGACTGTTCTTCTGTTAACTCTTGGAAGCCTATGTATTGTTTATTGTCTCCTTGATTATTTCTATCAGATATTTAGCTGGACCTTAAATGACTTTAAATAAAAATAATAATAAATTGGAACACTCTCCCAGGCACTCCTTATGAAGGGTTCTATTATGGAAGCATATAATTGCTGCACTAATCATTTATGAATGGCTCAGAACAGATAATTAATCTTTAGCCTCATTTCATGATCAGAAATTTCTGCTATTTTTGCCTAAAATGGCTGCATCCTTTTGCAGTTTGGCAGGTCTATTACCACATAATACTAGGATATTTTCAGCACTGCTATTGCAAAACAATTTGTCAGTTGCCTCATGAATCAGGCTCAGGCTCCAAGCGTGGGTTATTTTGAATATAATGACAGTCTGAGTAACCTTGCACTGACATGGGATTTCATTCTGTGCGGCGCAAACAGAACGTGTATGTGTGTGTGTGTGTATGTCAGACCCTTTATGAAAAGTCTTCCAATTGCAAAATCAAGATCCCCAGAATCTCGTTCTATGTTCATTATCCACACATAAATGCACACACTCCTGTTTAAGCATTTAGGGAAATGAGACCAAATCCATTGCTTCTATAACTCCATTGGCCTCAGTGGAGTTAAACGAAGGATGAATACAGCCAAGATCCAAATCTGTCCTTGAGCAAGTCTCCCTGTAATATTCTGTGTGTTTGTACAGAGAATTGGTCCCATAGCTTATAAAAGCTTTTTTTACTACAGTGCATTTAGCCTTATTAAGTTTACTAATGAAGAGCAACTAAAGTAACTAATACACCAATAAAGGCTTACATACTGTAGCAACCCTTTATCAGTCAGGTGAAAGGCCAGCTGAGGAAACTCAAGATCAAAGGCAGAGCTTTTGACTCTCATAGCTCTATCCTGGTCATTACTGCCCATGAACTTTTTTTTATATTTTTAATGAAGCTCAGCACATTACTCCTTTCAGTTATTCAGTGCATTGCTAGTATATAAAAAAGTCCATTGCCTGTTCCCAGGGGGAGTGGGACTACACTTAAGTGTAACACTACTTACTGGATAAATTTTTGAAAATGTGGTATAGTATCTTTGGTTTGGAGAAATACTGTGCTGTTTAGAATAAGAAATTGGCCCGAAAAAGGGCCCCTGGTAGGACCGACAATGCATTCTCTGTAGTATTCTGCCTCTCTGATTAGTTTAAAAAAAATTTCCATGGTAGACATGAGAAATGTTCTATCTAGGTGGTATCTTTAACAGGGCATACTTCAGATACAGGTTTGTAATGAAAATATCTTCTGATTTTTTTTTTATGTCCCAAAACATCTGCTCTCCTCAAAAGAGGGCAGAAGTTATTTTTCCTATTAAGAGAGAAACAGATATTAAGTGTATTTTGGATCAGATTTGCTACTCAGGCTACAAAAACAACTGTTTTTCTGCAAAAACCCACGGAGCGTCCACACCTCAAGCGCGTTTTTGCGTAAGTAAATTTACTGTAAATCAAAAGAACAGAGGTGCTCTTGCCACAAGAACTTTTTGCAGAAGACCTCTTCTGCAAAAAGCTTTTTGCACAAGAAACCTGCAGTGTAGACGTAGCCTCAGTTGTATAGGAACTATTGTTCAGTTTTCCAGCAGAGATAAACCTTTGCTTAAAAGGGAGCATTGACCCAGACATTCAGACAGCCTAGGCAAATGCTTAATTGGGTACTATGTATATGTGTAATGTTAAAGACTCTGAGGATTTCTATAATTCCATTATTTAATTAATGGGCTCACAAGTGGTTACTGAGACACAGCGGTTGCTGAGACAAGCAAATAGCAGCTGAATTAGGGATGTAAACGAGTAGTCAAATAAGCCTAGCTTATCAGGGTACTCAAGTTGACTATTTGCATTCCCCCTGACCCTTGCTGCCTCCGTACCAGAGGCAACAAGGGAAGGAGCAGGAGCTGGGGGGAGCCGGTTCCACTCAACACAGTCTTCATGGTGCAGAGGGGGCCGTGACAGGGGAGGCAGAGGTGCATCTGGGAACCTGGTGTTAGCAGGGACTGAAGCAGTCCCCGCTCACACTGGGTTCCCCACTGCACCTCCCCCCTCCTTATTGATTAATCGATAGTTGATTAATCAAAATTTAACATCCCTAAGCTGAATCATGGTCACTTTCTAAATCCTTTTTCAAGACTTATTTTCCAGATTCATGTTGAAAGACGGAGGAGCAAAATAATGCCCCAGCAGCCTAACTCCTCTCTAGTCCATGTAATGAGGGGCCACATTTTTGCACCCCAAAACAGAGCTACCTTCCATTAGCCTGCCTCCCATTAGTTAGCAAACCATGGTCTCAACAGTGATGAGGAAGGATTTCCCTAATAATGCATGTCACATTTCACAAACGAACATTCACCTCAGCAAAGGGTACAGCCTGCAGTAAAGCGGATGTTAAAAATTAACATGATCTAAAAAATATATATTTGAAGAGCTGACAGGCCTCTCTCCAATCCAGTATATAGGCATGTTAAATAACAGGTATTTGAATTGTCGTGTAACCGCATGAAGTCTTTGCGATGACATGACTATTCAATAGTTCCCGGGCGTGGAGCTGGCAGCCAATGTGCTCCCGGCCCCACACTCGGGGAGCCCCCTCGCACCCTGCACTGCTGCCTCTGTATCTGATCAGAGGTATCAGAGGGTTCCCCGCCCCCCTCAGCATCGGCTCCGCCATGCCACCTGCCCCAGAGGCAGAGGGAGTTTTTACGTTTTGTTTTGGTGTGTGTGATGGCAATATTACAGTGATCTAGCAGGGAGTCAAAGGCAAGGGAATGGGACTCCTCCTTCCAAGGATTAGGACCTTTTAGTGGCAATATGAATGACATGTGTCAGGTTGTGTTATCATAGGTAGTTCCTGCTTTGCAATAGCCAGAACATTACCGATGAGTTAATGGCTGTCGTTGCCTCCGTTCTAGGGCCATCAGAGTCAGGCCTGGCTCTCTCTCCAGCTGGGGCTTAACATACTAGGGATGGAAGAAACTAGTCAAGTCCCCGATAAGCATATGCCTGTCGAGTAGTGACTCGACTAGTCGCTTTGCCTCCACCACCTCTGCCTCTTTCAGATGGAGGCAGCAGACTGGGCAGACGGAGCGGGAGCCGGTTAAAAGCCGATTCCTGCCAGCATGGTCTCTGCGGGGAGAGGAGAGGGCAGGGGACGCAGAGGCGAAATGGCGTGAGTGGGGACTGAAGCAGCTCGCTATCCTGACTGCTGCTCCTCTCCCTTTGTAATATACAAGAGCCGTGGGCACAGTTTCCCCCCTCCCGCCCCCCCCGTGAAGGCAGCTCTTATACATTTCAAAGGCAGAGGGGTAGAGGGATAGCGAGTGCCTCCCTTATCGACTACTCGATTAGATGATTAATCGAAATTTAACATCCCTTAGAACACTCCTTGGCTCATACTTCTTTTTCTTCATGTAAAACATAGTTACACCCCACCTATCAGCCACCAAACCAGGATGGGCTGTTGCTGAAAATGGCATGCAGTGTTCAAGCCTGTTAACTAGGGGAGGGAGAGGGCAGCAAAAGGGCAATTGCCCTTGAGCCCAGTGATTCAAAGGGGCCTGGAGCTACCAGCCATGGCTACAGCAACTCAGAGAAGGATGATGGGGTTGGGGAGGCACACCACACTCTGGGTGGTGCAGAGAGCTGGCACAACCCCGCCCCTTCTGCCCAAAGCCCCACCCTTTCTCTCCTCTTTTCCCCCACAATACTGGGGCTCAGACTGGCTGTTGGCTCCCCTGGCAGGGTTGAACCCAGATCATTTAACTCTGCTCCTCGAGGTGTGCTTCTGGATTAAAGATCGCAAGTACAAATCACAGATTATAGAAGTAATAATGGATCGCTTCACTTGCGAGAAAACTAGTCTATATTAGAGCCATGAATGGGTGAGGCAGGGAGGGGAGCATAGAACTTCAAGAGACAAGTAATAACATTCACATTGTGTACTATAGAACTTGGGAATGCATAATGGCTAGAAGTAAACTAGTCACAGACTATAAAGAGTTGTAGTTTGTGATGATGGAAAAATAATTTTCCTAGATAGTCAGATGTGACCTAGGAAGACCTTGATGCCACAACGATTTGGTCACTTTAGCGTTTTTGCTTCAGACAGGAATCTCAGGTCGTTTTCCATCTATACTTGACATCAAGTCTAAACTGTACTTAATGAGCTGGTGTGCTGTGCTGGTGTGAGCACAGGGCTAAGAGTTAGATCCAGGGATCCCTTCTCTAGGTGGATAATGTTTTCCAGAAGATTAGTTCCAGTATTAGAGATAGGTACCAGGGACAGTACTTCACCCAAACATCCCACAGTTCAACTCACAAGAAGCTTAATTTACTTAAGTTATTGGGGGAAAAGGCAAACCTTACAGGACATGCCACTCAAATATGAATGGAAAAGCTGATCCAGTACAGTGGGTCCCCAAACCCTGTTCACCACTTTTATGCCACATAAGCCCTACATTGGGAACTTAAGCAATGCATAGGGCTTGTGGGACCTAGGCATGTATTTTACTTTTATAGCTTTAAAGAGTGGATGATACACAAGTCTTACTTTGCTGTGCTAGACTCGTGGTATGGCCTCATTGAGTGATGGATTCACTAACATGTACTACATCTCAAAGGCACTTAACATGGCATCAAAAACACAGCAGAAGAGACCCACAATAAAAAGAAGGAAGACACTTAATACCTGAAAAATCTGCTGCCAATAGGTCTACTGCCTTTAAAACTTTGACCTGTAAGAAGCCTATGTCCTTCATGTCTTGAAGGGAGTTCTTTATACACTGAAAAAAAAAATAGTGAAGAGACTTTTTAAAATAATAGTTCAGCGAGAGGAGTTACTTCGACTTCAGTTACAAAATGTACATTACTGAAGTAGCGTAGCATGGGTTGACTTACAGATTTAGTGAAGACCAGTCCTTAATTTTGGTCCCTGTCCTCACTGATCAGTGTTTCATTATCAGATACTCATTCATACAACTCTACCAATCTTCAGTATACATGAGCTTAGTAGTTAATTTAGGCAAACAGATTTACAGGAAACAAGCATGCTTATGCACATATTTGAATACTAAAATTGCATTATTCTAAAACAAGGTATAAGATATACTTAGAGAGGCAGCATTAAGCCCATGGCTAGAGTACTGAATTCAGAGTCAAGGATCTGGGATCAATTCATAGCTCTACTATTGACTAAGTCATTTCACCGTCTGTGCCTCAGTTTCCCTGTCTATAAAATGGGGGTGATAATGTGTATCTATCTTATGTAGCACTTTAAGGTCTATGGTTTAGTATAGAAAATACTAAATATTATAATCAAGCTTGAGCTTCCCAAAGTGAACAGACCAGAGCATGTTGCCAGGATGAAAAAAGAATTGTAAACACTATTCTCGCTTGCTCTCTCTCATTATGATTTTTTAACATTCATGGTCTCTCATTTTCTAAGATAATGTCTTAATGTAATTCAAGTTTTCAAAAGGGAAATGTTAGTTTAAAAACTGCCAAATGCAAACAGCCAAATTGCTAGAGGCTAACTGCTCTGTCAATTCACTTGTCACACTAAACATAATTATGGTGTGTGATACCTTTTTCCATTAGAAGCTGTGTTATTACGACTGGGACAGATCGTCTTTTGATGCAATTTTCAGTATTTTTAATAAAGTAGAAACAAAACAAAAACTCACATAGCGCTGGGAAATCTGTTTCCTTTCATTGGGGTCTCCCAAGGGGCAGGCACGCAGATCAAAGATAGCAACCCCTGAACAGGGGGTAACAGCAATTAGCATTAGCAGAGACCCCAGATGCTTCTCCATCGGCACTTCTAAAATATGAGTTTGCTTGGTAGGTAGTGCAGTAATATCCACTTTACACCTAGAACAACGATAAAGAGGATTACTTTAATAGGACAAAAACAAAAAACAAAAAAACAACCCACACAGACTTGTAAAATGTCATTTTTTAACCCATCATTAATGATCAAAAGGTACAAATGAACTAAGTTTAGAAAACTAATTTACTTATCATCTGGGCTGTTTGGTCAAGCGGGGGAAAATGAGGGGAGGGGGAAGCTAAGGAATGAGTAAATCTAGTTTGTTTCACTTTGTTTCTTGTCAGTTTCGCTTCCTGGTTTCCCTTCATTAGCACAGGTATAGAATACTAGGATTAGAGATAATACAAGTTGGGGTTTTAAATGCAGCTCTACTCTCATCCCTCACATAACTTCTTTTGATTTCTTTAAATAATAAATAAGAATAATGTGGGTGGAAAAACAAAGTCTAATGTTGTGTGTCAAAAAAAAAAAAAAGCTTCTTTAAAGTCACAGACTTCATTTTATGCTACATGTATGCCCTGATCTTCTTTACAAACCTTACTAGATCAAGGCTTCAGTGTATCGTTATATTTCCCAGAGGGGTAGCGTGGCTTGCAGGTATCCTGCCAGCTCATAATGCACATTGTTATAGTCTCTGACACTTTTGAGGGGGGAAAAAAAAGAAAAAAAAGCACACATTAATGAGAGACAAGAAAACAAGAGACCAGGTTGGGGAAAGCAAAAGAGAGTTTGCTGGAGAGCCTGGAAGCAAATGGTCAAATGTGACAAAGTCTATACACCTAGCACCGCTAAATGCCTTCTATTTGGAAGTCCAGTAAATGGAGTGGAACTTTCAGGAAGCTCTATTAGTTTTGGCATTTAAAAATAAGGTGAACAAAAGTTTGCAGTTAAAAAAAAAAGCAAAGAAGGAGAAGCTTTATTTCCACGGTATATGGGGAGTCACATTTCTCAAGCGGATATGGGATGGATGATAGAATTCTTATTCCACTTAATGCCTGCCGACAAGTTTTTATTTAAACAAAACTTGTTAAGGTGTTGTCTTAATAGGCAAAAATTCCACAGGGGTCCCCTAGGTGGGGTTTCTTCTGGGTAAATGGTGCATGCACTGTTCCTGATTGATCCCATTCCAGTTGTAGAGCTGGAGCAGTTTGTACCCATCTGCTATAAATTGCATGGTTTCCGCTCTTTAACAGCCTATTTTCTGGGAATGTTCGGAAAAGCCTCCCAAAAACATTTAAATTAACACACACAAAAATCTAACCTAAGAAGTAAAAGTCACTGGTGTGATGAGAGCGAAAGCCATTCATTTGCTCTGCATTAGGACGGGTTTATTTGTATAAGATTCTAACTACCAGAGTCAGTGGACATGCCTTTAACTTGTTTGAGTTCTGCTTAGTTCACGGTGTTAAACACACAGCTTGTTGTAAGTTTATTCTTATTGATAGCACTCAAATGCTATGGAAGAGGAAACAAGATAACCCAGAAAAGAGCATCAAAGCGCCACATGACTACACAAAAGGACAAATTTCAACCCATTTTCCCAGTGCAAGAGATTGTATTTAATGCTCTTTGCTACAACTTCAGCCCTGGAAGGAGAGGAGGTGGGGGAGGAGAAACACAAAGACATTCTCTTCAACTCTTTATCACTTTGACCCAGAAGATCGATATCACCTTGGCCATGTTTTCTGGTTGCTTTTCAGAGTCTATCAACCTAACACCTCTCCTAACTAAGCTTAGCTACAGCTTTCATTCAATACCGGTAACTATATGCAGAACGTTGCCAAACACCAAAAACAAAATTGAGAAAAAAAAGCTGATATTGGTTTTTCTCCAGTCTCTTTTATTGATCATAACTTTAGGTGCTACATAGAAGAATGGTGGGGTGGAGTGGAAGGGTGGCCATTACTGGAGAGAAAGGTGACAATTTCATCACAAACTTCTGTATCATAAAAGTAGAGTTATATTGAGTTCCAGTTTGTTTTAGTTCAGGTTGACTGTTTTCATCTAATCAAAAAATTAATATCTACAAAAGGTCAAAGAGTAGACTGAGTGCAAGGATGTAGGGAGGGAGGCAGATGAGGAGGGGAAAGCTGCAGGAGTAGTGTAAGCATTATTTCCTCAATTCTATGGAAAGTAACTGACTCAAAACATCTGGGTTCACTCAAGTTGCCGGTATGCCTTGTCTATATGTGGTATAGTTTTTCCTAAGAAATTGCAAACAGGCTCCACATCTGCACTGGCAAATGGCAAAACTCTTAGCGAATTAGAACACTTAATCTGATTCATTTGAGTTGTTTAATTTAATTGATAAGACTGCAAGAAAACATCTTGAAAAATTAATCAAGAATTGAGTTTAACAGATGACTGTAGTAATTTCTACACCAGCAATCAGCTCTCGATTACTACTACTCTATTACTATGTTTGGCGAATTACTCTCACGGAGCTTCTCTAACACTCTGGAAACCACTTTTTTTTTCACCCACTTATGTTACACATGTGAGTGGAACGTCACCATTACGATTGATTTGACATGGAAGGAGTTCAGATACTACCATGTTGGGCAGCATCATAAAATCCTGGGAAGAAGCATCATATGAGTAATACTAGGTAATTCAATTGCTTGCTCACAGTCAGATCAAACTGAGAGCAAGCTACTAAATCTACAAATTTAGATTATGCTTTTAGGAGATCCCCCTTCAGCAAAGTCCCTAATATAACATTCCTGTGTAGTGGCAAACATTTTTTTACTGGTCTCTTTTCCTCGATTTACATTTCCCCAGTTCTTAGTTCAGCACTTGGATCTAATCACCTGTCTAAAATGTACTGTTGAATCTGTCTCCCCCTGAGTTACTACACCTGTCCATGTTCGGCAGAAATACGGATGTAACCTACTAATCAGCATGTGTTACTCATCCCCTCTCTGTTCCCTACCCACACAGATTGAGTGTGTTATGAACTCCAGCTTTAATCAGGGGTGAGAGCAATTTTTATATGAGGGGTGCTGACAGCTGTTGTACTCAAACTGGAAACTTTGCATATAATAGAAACTACTTCAAGTCAGGGTGCTGCAGCACTCCCTGCATGCCTCATTCCCTCAGCTATTGCTTTAATTTCAGCTATAGAAATTCACTTGTTTAGCTCTGGAAGTCACTGGTTCAATCCCTGGTACGTTGCCATCACAAAAATCACATTCCCCCCCCTACGCATTATATACAAAAGCTTCAGAGAGGTAGCCGAGTTAGTCTGTAACTGGAAAAACTTCTAACACAACAAATAGTCTAGCAGCACCTTAACGACTAACAAAACATGGAGATGGTATAGGTATAGCAAGCTCTGAAGAAGTAGGTTGTGCCCACGAAAGCTCATGATACCAGCTACATTCTATGCATGCATCCCATTTCTCTCTACCAACCAGAGATCTCAAACTCCCGTGTGTGGGAGCGATTGTGCAATCTGATCCAGAATGCTGGGGGGTGGGCAGGAATGTCCATTGCAGGGCCACCATCCTCCTGCCTCTCCCCCAGATACCTCATTACCCCAAGCACACAACTCTGGGGGTCATCAGAGGGGCATGGGAAGCATTCGTGCCCTCTCCGCCCCACACACTCCCCGTGGCAAAGGAGCCATGGGAAAGCAGAGCTAGCGCACACATCCAGTGCACTCCACTTCTCCACAGCACCGAGGGCTGCAACTGCTGCCACTGCACGGCACCAGACCCTCAGTGATCCCTAAAGTGGTGTGTTCAGGGGACTGAGTACTATGAGGGGAAGTGGAGGGAGAGATGACAAGAAGGGGTGTGGTTTTGGGGGCAGTGAAGACAGTCCCGGGCTAGATTGCTCAATTGCACCTAGAGATTGAGATTGGCCCACAAGCTGGGAGTTTGAAACCCATCACCAGGTCATCTTCTGGCTGTAATATACTGAGACAGGTTTCGAAGAATCACCCCTCGGAACTTTTGTAGTCTGAATACTTCTGCGTCATTCAGTTCTTTGCCCCCTTTTGCCTCTTGAGTTCCATGCTCATTTGTGATTTAATATAATTGGCAGACATCTGATTTTTACTCACCGTGACTGAGCTTCACCTCTTACTCATTACCACCACAATTTACATTAATATTTTATACTGCAGGCATCTCAGAACTTGACTAGCTTATACTCCATAATCTCATGAGTAAAAGAAAATATGACTAAAAGATGAGCCTTAATATTTGGATAGGGATCTCAAACGCCACAAAGGCCAGGAGTGTTTGGAGGCAAGTTTTGCAGTCTCTCACTCTAAAGCATGGGTTCCCAAACTGGGGGGCGTGAAGAAATTCCGGGGGGGGGGGGGGCCACGAGGCAACCAAGCTCCCCTCCCCATCAAGTTTTGCTGTCCCGGTCAGTTCCTTTTATTTTTGTTGGGCTCAAGTTTTGCGGGGGTGGAGGGGGCGCACCATGAGGGTTTTTCAAAAATCAAAAAGGGAGCGTGATGCTGAAAAGTTTGGTAACCACTGCTCTAAAGAGAGGTATTTTGTTTCTGAACTCTTCCTATAGTTTGGTAGAGCTCAAATCCAAGGTTTCGGTCCAGCTTTAACAGCCTTACAACTCAGTACCTACTGCACTGCTGTATAATTGGATTGTTTCTTTGTGCAGAGATACGACTGGTACTTGCCAGAGGCATCCCTACTCTCTTATTTAATGGCTTATAATGATCTTTCCTTAAGTCTAGCAATTTTCCTAAACTCTATTTCTAGAACTAAATTTGTGTAAAATCAACATTTTACAGTCTCTCTCTCTCAAAGCGCATTCCTTAATGCAGAAACATTCTCTTCGAATTTGGCATAAGCAATTTCATTCAGCCTAGACAGATTCTGCAAACTTGAACAGCTTCATTTATTAACCCATCAAAGTCATCTTCTGCTTACAGTTTGCCTTTTATCCCAATGGCTACAAAAACACTCAACAATGTAACTAGCAGACTAACTAGAAGAATCATTTCACCCACCACTGAAGACAGCCCCCTCTGGGTTCAGTGTGGCAGATGAGCGCTACAACACTTCGC